AGAAAGAAAGAAAGAAAGAAAGAAAGAAAGAAAGAAAGAAAGAAAGACCCAGCTGGGATGCCAGAGATTCTTCTTTTTTCATGTTGTTCTTTTTTATGAATATCCTGATTGTTTTGCATTGGGTATATTGAGTGTGCAGAGGAAAGGTTGGAACTGAATGACAAAGACAGACGAAGGACTGGAGAAACGGCAGGTACTGTGTACGACTGAAGCTTCCTACTGGAGAATATTCTCACTCTTGTGCAGGACAAGCAGCCCCCTGGATTTTAAAGATCATCCCTGGCTGAGACAGACACAGGCCTGCTCCTTGTTAGGAAACTCCGTAACCAGCTCTTTTGTTGGATTTCATGTTACCACTACTCCTGGGAGAAAAGAAGAAAAAAAATATCCCTACATCACACCCACTCTTGCATAGAGCGTTTGCAGTAAAGTATGTGGCGGGGTGTTCCTTTCCTCTTGAATTGGAACACAGTGTAAACCAAGACAAGGAGGCACAGGGCCAGTATGCAAGGGATGACAATGGCTATAGCTTTCACAGTGCTGGCTGTGTTGTCCAGTTTGATGACAATGTCTACATCATCTTGAGGGCTGTGTCGGTCTTTGTCCCGGTCTGCTGGTCCATCACAGCCCATAAAATCCTTGAGGATAGATCTGGGATACCCCGGTTCCACTCGGAGCATTTGATTGTTGAATTTCCAGTATTCTTTGCCTTTGTAGAAATATGTGAAGCCTATTCAGAAAAAAATATTGAATTATTTAAATGGATTGACATTTGGACATCTCTCAGTTAAATAACTTATTGCAAGTAAGGATGCAACTGCAATTTGGAAATGAATACAAGAACTCCCTACTTAATCAAAAGAGCATCCTGATTCCATACACTATCTTTAGTATAGATTGCTACACAATTTTATGAAACATTTTTTTCATAAAGCATTTCTCCTTCTTCCATAAAATTAAATTGTTTGCGCATCGATCAACAATTCTGATTGAATCATGCCCTGAAGTCGAGCTTGTTTAATGTGATGGAAAAATTAAGATAAATATAGTTTTAAGTTGACACTTGAAAATAACTTGAGTCTGAGTTGCTCAAGGAGCAAAGGAATATTGGTCAGTTGTTGCAAATTATAGCAGTTAGTTAGTTAAATTGCTCCCACCCTCCTGAATCTCTTCCCTGTTGCATCATCAGCTTTAAAATGAACTCTGAAACATAAAACAGGTGTATACACTTCATAGCTTCAGTAGGGAGCTAGAATTTGATCATTCAAAAGCAAACCAGGACAATTACAGGGTGCCTAATTGCAGAAATCAGCTTCCCTGCCAAAAAATTTAAAGCTTTTACTGTCTCAGCTGAAAAATGGTACCAATCCAATAAAAACTTTCACAATGGGTATACAACCTCCTGTTATTTATCAACTGCATACAAACAATTGGGAGTTTTATCCAGTGTTATAACTTTGCCTCTCACAATGTGTGAGAGATAGTAAAATAAAATAAGTAGAATTAATTTGGTAAATGGCAACAATTGATTGCAATAATATAACAAACATTGGGCTTTGTCTTTGAATGATAAAAAGGACAAATCATTATTTTTTTAATCACTTCTTTCCCCTATTCAAATTAAGCACCACTTCTTTTGGTTTCTGGTTCAGATTTTTATGACAGGAATGTGAAAACAACTTGGCTTGGCCATTTATTAATTTTCATTATCTTTCTAAAAATTGAATGTATGTGAAGCTGCTTTGGAATAATTTTATTTTGGCGCCAGTAAACACAATCTTTCCCCCATTGTTAAATGTGCTTACTAGCTTGGCTTGAATGATGAGGCTTTAAAGATGAGAGGTAGGAGAAACAAAATATGTCCCTTTACATATTCTGCAAGTTTCAAGTTTTTGCAGTCTTCCAAATTGTTTAAGAATAAGTTCCACTGAAATTGAAGAGGCTTCCTTCAAAGAATATTTCCAATATTTCATTTTGAATGCAAAAATACTTTGGGTGATTGGGGTAATGGAATATCCATTTTAATGTGAAAGCTCACAACTGTTTTGTTTTTCTGGGATACCACTGTGGAAAGACTATGAACTGCTAGTAGGAGTTTCCATGGATAGTTTCCATTATCCTTCCATGAATCTTTTATTATGACTACAATGCAAGTTCATTTATTGACTTACTATTTATTTATTTATTATTGCCACCATGGCGACTCGAGGTGGCTTACACAATGAAAAACCGTATTTAAAAAATAAAAAATAAAAAACAATAAAAACTAACAAAAAGAATTAAATAAATTAGTAAAGTACAATAGACCAAAATTTTGGGGAAAAATAATTAGCTTAATATGCATTATTTTGATATAATACATCTTGTTTGCATTATTTGCTTGGATTGTTCTACACTGAATAATCATCACCATCATTACCTCATACTTTTGAAAAATTAATACTATATGCTGTGGTATTAGATACACACTTGACAGCATATAAGTTTGTTATATCTATGAAGGTGATCTAATGCAGCAAAGCAATAACATCATTATAATTTTTAGGTTACTATAAGCAAACTCCCTCACAGTCTGTCACTTTTGTTCTACAAAAGCTAAGATCCTACTGGTGAGGAGAAAATGCTTATTTTGGAGGAACATAATTTTCTTAAGCTGTCAGGCAACATTCCTTTTCATTGATTCCCCCAAACACCTCATCCTCTGTGACCTCCTAGTTGCTTCTTTTTACTCTCCCTTGTTCAGCTCCCAACACAGCGTAGGTGTCTATGAGTCAGTTTCAGCTGTTTGCTAGAGAAAGCAATACATACTCTCTCTTCATTCTGGTTATTACATTCAAAATCTGGTTTTGGCAGTTTACTATTCTTTCTCAAATCTGAAGCTGGATCCTGGTTAGCCATTCCTTCAACAGGATAGAATGGGATCTGGAGAACCATCTGTATTGTATCTCCCAATGCTGAGAGAAAACTACCTTCAATTGCACTGAACTTACTGCTTCAAGGAGGCTTAAGCTTTTATCCCCAGTGAGCTCAATGCAGCTGTTATTTTCCTTTTCCTGTACTTTCAGTGTAGCCAAAATCATCGGGGTGGAAAAGTTAAAGCTTCCCTGGTGATTACAAAGTGCAGCAAAGTTTGGATTTTTAATGAAGTAATGTGCTGTTTGATTATTAGGACACTAAATAGAGAATTTGTACTGAATACTCCCAGAGATTAGGAAAACAGATGAGAATGATGACACTGCACATGATCATTTAGTAAAGGATGTGGTACAATACATGGGAGACATGGAGAACTGGAAATAGAAGTGTGCATGCAACATTTGGATAGCAACTCTGCTTTCTTGCATAGTTTAACCTCATACTATAGTCCTACATTCTGCTGAAACCTAGGAGAAATCTAGATTTCTTGAAATTGTTTTTTGTTTTTAGATATTGTACACAAAAAATGCCCACATAAATATTGTTTAAAGGGAATAAATTGACTCTTTTTTATATATATTAGCAAGAAGTTTTTTTTAATAGTTTTTATTCAAGAAAAAAAAATATTTTAAAAAGAGAATTATGTTCTCACATTTTACAGTGTTTCCATAAAAGTGTACCCTATTAGTGTTAATTAAGATCATTTACTACAAAGATAACTTAATGCAAAAAGCTTTTAAGGTAGAATAAGATCTATGAGTTAAATAGCTTAAATCTGAACATAGTTTTCTACTTCTCAGCTGGCATGTTTTCCTGTTTCCTTCCAGCCCCTTCCACCCACCCCCTCATCCCAATGACGAGAGCCAAAAGGATTAATGTAAGTTGCTAAACTAAAAGCAGTTCATCTGAACCAGGGGTGGGATTCAAATTTTTTAACAACCGGTTCTGTGGGTGTGGCTTAGGTGGTGGGCATGGCTTGGTGGTCATGTGACTGGGTAGACATGGCTTGGTGGTCATGTTATTGGCTGGATGTGGCCAATTCAATATCACTCACATTGAGGCACGCATCTCCTTGCTTGGCCTCTCATGACTGTGGGAATGCTGCAACAGTCGTAAGTGTGAAAAATGGTCACAAGTCACTTTTTTCAGTGCCATTGTAACTTTAAATGGTCACTCCACACAAGCAAAGTACCAGCAAAGGAGGGGAAAAAAACTCCAGAGACGTTCCTGAGAAAAGGAAGTTTAGTCCTGCCAAGAATGTAATAAGGGTTAATGGAGAGGCAGTTTCTGTAAGCAACACCAGAATGTTTCCTTCCTGCCTTCCTTACAGGATTAGGCCAGTAATTTCTTCTAACAACCGGTTCTCTGAACTGCTTAGAATGTTAACAACCAGTTCTAGCGAATAGGTGCAGACTGGTAGAATCCCACCCCTGCTCTGAACCCTTTCCCCTAAATCAGTGTGATACAGTTTCAAGTGAAATCTCTGAAGAGGTGGAGGAAATGACTATAGGCAAAGTTTAATCACAGTTCTATGAAACTAGGTATGGTGTTTCTCCTATATAACCTTGCCTGTTTTATTTGCTTAAGCTTAATGCAATAGCCAATACAATCCTGACTTTAGGGTGCAATCCCCAGCATAGTTTTTGCAGGCTTCAGCAGATAACTTGTTTCTTTCTTATTCTCTAAGAATCTGTATAATTTCTTCAATTTATCTTTAAAAAACAACCCAAAGAAAAAAAAGAAACATGCTTTCTTTTTAGTTTTATTGCCAGATATTACTTTGCCAACGTTTTAGAGACTGTGAAGTTTAATATTTCTGTACTTCAATTCAGTTCAGTATTTGATGTTCATAGAAATATGCAATATTGTATTTGTTAAATAGATTTATGCAAAATATAAACTTCTAACTTTGTATTAGGTGATTCTAACCAAGTCCAGGATAGATTGCTTTGAACAGACTTTTAGAATAGTATATTTCCATTTGGGTGGTTTGTGAAAAAAGTTAAGACCTAAAACATTTTGCTATATGTGAAAGAGCAGCAAATCTTTTCTTTGGTGGAATTGGAAGGGATTTTTCCCCTTCACAAGAAGTAAATCCTAAGCTTTGACTCTAAGCAAATGGGAAGCAGATACCAGCTCCTGGATGCCTGACTCAGCTCTAGCTGTCAGAAAATGGCATTAAAAGAAACAAAACAGAGTCATGGTCCCAATCTGGCTCCCCTCCTCCCCCATCCACATCAGTTAGTAGCTTGACATTGAAGATATGATTTAACCTGAACATCAATACAATGCCATATATTAAAAAGGGTTTGGGCTTAAACCAATTATTAAATGTCTTAAATATATTTATTGCACTGTGATGGGGATTCACATTTTAGTAACAAGAACCCTTTGAATAAATGATGTGGAATGAATGAATGAATGAAGGAAGGAAGGAAGGAAGGAAGGAAGGAAGGAAGGAGCATTTGTGTTCATAAGAAGCTACATACCATTTTCTTTGTGAACAAAGGCTCCCTGAGGTGATTCTGGGATGCCTTTCCAGATTGTGATTGATTTGGGATAACCTGTGTCCATAGTTCTTATATCTTCACTGTATCTCCAATACCTGAGAGAAAGAATGAGATTAAAATAAATTTTATGAATGCCTTTTTCAGTGTGTGAAATGAAGTACTCTGAAATAATATGAGGGCAACCTGGTTATTTCTATTTAAAGATATACTTCTAAATAGTAATGAAGACATTTAAACATTTGATGATTGAATACATTTTTCCATTAAGTACATAAAAGATTAAAGATTAATCTATCCTGAGAATCAAATCAACGAGTGGTTTTATATAATCAAAACAGTTATGATACTTAGGGGTTAAATCCAGCTGTACAATGATGAATATTATATGCAATAATCTATAGTAATGCTTTATTCAAGATTTGAGTTAAAGTTCCCATAGCACTTCTAATTCTATGTTGTATTTTTCAGAGTCTTTTAAAAAATTCCATTGTGTAATATTTAGCAGCCCAAGCAGCTAGATTCCTTAAATATTTTAATTTATAAAGAAATAACACACCATGAAAAGTATATACATATTGAAAAAGAAAAGGAAAATCAGATTGCAGTCTTATATATGAGAAGTCTCACTGAGTATTTACAAGGAAATTTATGGAATTTTCTTAATAAACATTTTTTTCTAAATTATTTATATTTTTAAAAAGGTTTTATAGCTCCCCACCAGTGTTAATAAAAAGGATTACTCCTGGTCTCAAGTACACACCAGAAATGACATATTCTATATATTTATCTCTCCACATTTATGTATGGCTATCTGCATCTGCTATACATACAGTAAGAATGCAATTTGTAACTGAAAGCATTTAGTCTTATCCTCAGTAAATTTGCAATGCACCTTATTTATGCAGTTCTTAGGAAAATAGACTGCCTTAATAACTGGGAGCAGAATCCTGCTTTTCTGATTGGCCTCAGAGTATCTACACGCAAGTAGCTCTGAAATCCTAATCAGAAGAAATATCAAATTCAGTTTCAGAGATTCTTTGTCAGTAGCCATGTACATTGGGAGAAGTTCTATATAAAAACTCTATTTGCTAACATTTCATAGGAAAAAAAAATAACAACAGAAAAAGTAATCCCTTCCCCTGGACTGCAGCAACGTTTTAGTAATGCAAAAGAGATTGCATTTCCACCAATATGCCCACATTTGTTTCTTCCTAACTCGGTGATGTAATTTCTTGATCTATATGCAAAAGGGTGTGGTCTGCATCCATAATGCTTTACGATGTTTATATTTCAAAATAATTTGAGGTCTATTTGATAAAAGTAAATCTTTCTAAATAGGGTTTATTTCTGAGTCGGAACTGCAGAAAGGAAAGTATCTTAGCACTACATTGTTGCCTAGAATAAAGGTCCATTATATTCATGTTTTAAGAAATGGTGGGTAAGAATTTATTTTTTGCATCAATTAAAACAACTGAAAAAATGTTGTTGGCATTTTTTCTATGCACAGAAAAATGAAAAAATCCATAGAATATCAGGTAATTACTATGAAGAAAAATAAAATGACAAAGTTTGGAGATTTGTATAATATGACTCATTGCTTTATAGATTTTTCATTATTTTTCGCTTGCTTTATTCAAGGTAGATTCTTGTTATTTACAGATGCAGTACCTCTGAATAAAAAAAAATCATGTTAAAGAAATGCACAGTTTTGAGAAACTAAACGTTCCTTTCATTATATACAAGCAGTGAGTGAGAACCAGCACCAGTAATTTGAAGGCTTAAAAAAGGCAGAAATAGAAGGTTGAAGTAGCTCCAAAGCAGATATGTATGACTTTTGAGACCATGGATCAATCAAATTTAACATGGTTGGAATAGCAGAATGAACATAGGTGAAAGTTATTTGCAGAGATTGGGTTTTTTCTCCTTCGTTTTATAACTTTATTATGCCTATTTTTACAATACAGTTGTTATATGTTTCATTGAAATGGCTAAAAGTAGTCATCTCAATGTTTAGCAGTCACAGCCATGGTCTTTAGAGAACCACAGAATAATGGGGTGACGAATGGAGGTGACTACCCTGATTCCAAGATGTGAACCCAATCCAATAAGAGGCAGAGGAATGACACATTAAAATCACTATCTAATTCAATAATTCAAGAGGTGTGGAGACACAAATGTTTGCTTCCTGCTTAGTTGAATAAACTTAAGATTTATGCCATGAAAATGGTCTTGCATTTGTTTGATTCTTTGTGATTTGCTTGTCTGTCTGTCTGTCTGTCTGTCTGTCTGTCTGTCTGTCTGTCCTCATTGTGTTGAAAAGCCGTGTAGCGTTTCTAATATAATCTGCAAAAAGTGCTTCAGAGCACTGGGAATTTTCTGCAACATCTACATTTTTTCCCCAGGATCACTTGGAAGCAGCAGGAAAAAGATGCTGCTAGTTTAAGGTATCACAGATTGGTGCTACAATCTGTTCCCAACACATTCCTCAGAAACTGAAGTCAAAATGTTATCCAGCAATACTGTATGGTTGCTCAGGTCTATCTTTCTCCTGGGAGGTTATAACACCTTATCAAGCCTTTGCAAGAAGACAATTTTCCTCCCTTGGCTTTGTTATCACCTTTTGCCTCACCTTTTTTATGCCTACCACATCATCACAGTTAAAGAAGCAACAGTGGGCTGTTCTCAGTTCAGAAAGAACTTTGTAAGAAGCTTATATGTGCAATTAAAACCAGTGGGAGAATTCAGCCTGTATCATATTAAGAAATAAAAAAGGGATATAAACAATATGTGCTGAAAAGCTTAGTGTGATATGGGCTTATTCCCACTAAGTGGTCAATATCCTGTAATAGCTCAATTATCTTAGCATGGCTCACATTTTTCAAATCTCCTCCTTTATATGCTGTATTGCATTTATGACCTGCTGGGTCTCATTATGCTTGTTCTAGATCTAAAAAAATAACCTTCTCATCAACAGATGTTTTTATTTTACTTTCCCTTGGTTTTTTTTTCTTTTTGGATATAGTTTTTCTCTCTTTCTCTTTGTCATCATTGTATTTTTAATAAGACCTTAACTCTATAAAGTTGTCAATGGAAAAAAAAAACCAAGTCTATAATACCCCGAATCTCAAACATGCAGCTAGGATGCCTATTTAAATAGTTTAAATAGTTTAAATAGTTCCCAAAGCCTGTGGACTGAAAAAATATATATTAAATATATTAATATTAAAATAATATTCACAACCATAACAAGCAAATAGAAATTGATGGCAATATGCCTAATGCATTTCAGCTTCCGACATGTTGCTTGTTTCTGTCCACACAACTGTACTTTCTGGAGGAAAGGCTCTTTTCTAAAAATTGAATTACTATGCTTTTACTAAAATCATGCAAGTCCAACTCAAACAGGAAAACAAATTAGTAAGATTGTTGAAAGAAATGCAAGAAGGCAGAATAGACAACTATTTTTGAATATGCATTAATACTAAGAATGAAAGTGAACAGCAAGCCATGTAAATACAATAACATGATGTTTCCTTCCAGAATGAAAACACTAACCTGTCGCCTTTGAAAAAATAGGTTTTCCCAACATCCTCCCACCAAATTGCTGAATCAATACCATGAGGAGGAATCCCACTTCCTAATGATATCAAATCATGAGGATACCCTGGCTGGAGGGTGGTGTCTTTGAAGATCCAGAACTTGTTACCTGTGCAAGAAAAACAAAACACTATATTAGTCTTTTGACAGAAATTCTGACCAAGAAGCTAAAAGATGATTTTTACCAGAGCCCAATGTGTTGCATTCTTGTAATGAAATAAATAGGATGAGGACTAGGTCCATGCCACAATACATAGATGGGGCATAGTGTCCAAATTATATGGCTATGTAGCTGCAACTGTCTTAGTGGATGGTAGTTTCAGCTGGCTCTCCTATTTTGCAATATCCTGCAAGATACCATGAAATGAACAACTTTGCCAAAACATATCCTTCTTTAGAATTCCACTTATCTCCAACAGCCCAAATCTCTGCTGATGTTGTAGCCAATCAGAAGCAAGTTTTCACTTGTCAGACATGTTCCAACTGCATGCGGTAGGACAATGTTGCTGAACTTTTTCGGCACTGAGAGCTGCTCTTCCAGTTTCTGATGCTCACACTCACGCAAAGAGCAGCACTGGAACCCAGAAGAGCAATGGGCGATGGCTGGCATGCCAAGAGAGAAGGCTCTGTGTGCCACTTCCAGCATGCATGCCATAGGTTCGCCATCATAGCCATAGGATATATTTCCTATACCTGTTGCTTTAGAAACTGACAAGTAGAAAAATGGGACCAAACACTCCTCCTTATGTTTTGCGTATTATATAGGCAGCCTTGCTACATGAATATGTATTCATGTAGCAAGGTTGCATATATAATACGCAAAACATTCACCCTTAGGCACTGTTTTCTACCAACAGTTTGAAATAAATTTTTGTTTCTCCTTATAGACTAAAGGATCAGATTTGTGCTAGAACCATTATGACAGCTAAAATTGAAAATTATTTCTATTTTATAGATGTTCCACAGTAATGTTATAAACATAAAGGATAAAAAAGGAGAATGCAAGGAGGAAAGGAAAGGGAAAAGGAAAGGAAAGTCTAATCTCTTTTTCTGATTTACAGCATCTCTTTTTAACACACTTTTAATTAGGAAATATGGTAAAGCTTTATTCCTTTGCATGCTGAGTGGTAGAGTAAATATATATACACACACAAATGCATCCTTTTTATTCAAGAAATCAACATAATAACTCAAAAAAAGTTTTGTTCCACCTGTTTTTTTGCAGACAATAAACCTTGTATTCAGAATTCCTTGCTTTATTTGCATGTCTTTGTAGAATATGATTAAAAGGAAGAAGAAAGTAAAGGCATAATAGCATCCATTACAGCAGAAGTAAACAGCATTTGGTAGTATATTAAATCACAATATAGTTTTCTTATGCTGCACAAAGGAAGGAAGGGAAAGGAGGGACAATTCACCTCGTGCAAAGAAGCAGGCTATATTCAGAAACCTTTTCTTTTGCATCTCAAGGACCTTAGAAACACACTCCTGTTCCAAAAATATTATTTCACATAATCGTACAGCATAATCACATTCAGGATGGGGGAGAAAATGTTTTAGAAAATATCCACTGCAAATCAAGGGTTTTCTTAATCTCATTGCTACACAATTTCCTAGAAGTATTTTTAAAGACAAATCTCGGTGAAGTTAATTATTAAAAGCCCAAGCAATTTTTTTCTTAAGGATTGACCCTGTAAATTCATTTCATATTTAGTAATTCGCTCAATTTACCAGTAAAATTGATACTTCAGCTTTTGGTTAGTAATTTTCCTAAACTGTATACTGACAATGGCTATCCAGTTTTCTTTTTCATGGGATTCTAGGTTGGTTTAAGCTGAGGCCTCCGGGTCACAGTCCACTACTGGGCCTTGAGCTGTTCGGAACTGGGTTGCAAAAGTGGCAGGCAAGCATGCGAGCAGTGGACAAGCACTTGTATGCATGCTCCATTTGCACAAGCAGTGGGCATGCATGCCTGCCGCTTGTGCAAATGGAGCTGCATGTATGCATGCCTGCCTGCCCTCATGCAGAATCATCTCCTACCAGAGATGGTATTCAGCAGGTTCTGACCAGTTCTGGAGAACCAGTAGCAGAAATTTTGAGTACTTTGGAGAACCAGCAAATACCACCTCTGACTGGAGATTTTACAGTATCCTTCCCCTGCCACATCCACCAAGCCACGCCCACAGAACCGGTAGTAAAAAAAAATTGAATCCCACCACTGTCCCTTCTCCCTTTCCCACCCACCCCACTGGTCCTTAAAGCTGGAAAGGGGCTCTGGATTTATGGATCAAAATGAACACATTTTAACACCTACAATGAAGTTCTTTAAAATATTGATTTTTTTCAGCCTTTTTTTAAAAAAAAAAAAAACTTTGGAGGAGTTTGGAAGGCAAACTATTTCCATTTTCCCCTGGCTGAAATCATGCCCCTAAAATATAACTTTTGTTGTCAAATGTTGGCAATATAAACTTAGAAATAAACCAAGCTTATCTGTGCATTGTGCAACTCTATTTTTAAATAAAATGAGATTAGTGATGGGTCTCTCATGTTTAGTCAGAACTTAAATAACAGACAAGATGTCCCAAGGATGCTGTTGTTTTTTTCAAGATGTTTCACTTCTCATCCAAGAAGCTTCTTCAGTTCTGAACTTGAGCTGAAGAGCTTCTTGGATGAGAAGCAAAATGTCTTCAAGGAAAAACAAAGTCCAGTTCCCTTTTTAAAAAGCACTTTTGGGACAACCATGGCCTGGATGATTAAGAATCTCCACAGACGTTTAACCAATAGGATCTTTTCCACCCAACAACTCACATGAGTTTACAATGACTATTCACTTTCATTCCCACAGAGGCTTTATCTACATTGTTTTCTTATCCTGTTTTACCCTGGCCTTTTCTAGATGGATACACTGACCTTGATTTCAACTCACTGTAGTCTAATGTTCTGAGCATGCATACATTCTTTTTCTACATTATTTAAGAAATACAAAAAAATCCCACGGGACTTTGAGATCATACAGTATAAAACAGAACATTTGATATGCAGTATGTTCTTTCTTTTCGTTGTAAGTTGAAAACATTGAAGAGTTGGGTGGCCTTGAAATTAAATTAAATAAACAGACAAATGCCTGGAAAATTGGCTTGGTAAATCTCAACATCCTTGAAAACTTTGATTTGGATATGAATCTTATTATCTGTGGGAAATCCATACTGCTATAGATAGAGCAGGTGTTCATGCTGCTATATTCATTCCCAGTGCTTAGGCTTGAACCAACCACTCATAAATCAGCCCTTTTCCCTCTGTATTAATCTCTAGGTTGCTGCTGGATTTCAGGAATATGACTGTTTTATTTCTGGATGCATACATTGTACAACTCATCCTAACATGTGTAAAATCATGGAAGTAGAACAGTCTTGTTAATCATCCATTATAGAAGCATAATAGAGAAACAACATTATATAATTCTGCTCATGTCTTTTCTTCTGCCATTTAACTCTAAAAAGATTAAACTCTAAAAGGTAACAGGATATATCTTACTTTGAAACTGGTGAGCAATGTCAGCAGTAATTACTTATTTGCAAGTTTTCTCTTGGGCTCACACTGAGATATATTATGCATGCACTAGATAAAGGGCTTATTTTGCCTCGGCTGTCAACATTATCTGTAGTGCAGACTACATATAAGAAACCTAAACAGAACTGAAGCTTTTCTTAAAAGAAAAGTTTATTTTTTGTTTCTTAGGCTCAAGAAGTCACTGACAGATTTCGGTTGAAGGATGAGGTCATGAATAGACAACCACATTTTGGATGACTTTGAATAAAGAAACTGAATAAAAGCTTTCACATTCAGAACTGAATGTTAAAAGGATTTTAAGAAAAACAGACCAAAACTGAACTGAAGTTAAAGAATGAAACTGGGCCTAGTTCAACCATTATGTTCCTTTGTGGAGGCTATAAACAACATTTCTGCTAGGTGGATTCTATATAAGGCATATTTTAAATTCTGTATGATTCTCTCTTTTGTAAAGCAAGATGAATACGCATAGCATACAATTGTTATGCATCTTAGCTTTTAACTTGCATTAGTATATGTTCTCACATAGAGGTACATGTATTTTCCAGAAAAAAAGTCAAAACTATTTCCTCTCTAGTATAAATCTGTTGAAAAGCACAAAATTGTGTCAATTTAAAATAATTAGAATCTATGTATCTGACCTGAAAGGTAGATTTAAGTGATAGTAGGTAGTGGAATGCATAAATTGTCAGTTTAATTTTAAGTGAACACTACAAACAGATGAGTACAGGCATGTAACATTATTCCTGACCAAATTTGCTATTCAAGTTGTATAATAAGAAGGGAAAAATACCTAGCTAGGTTATTATTTTTCTTATATCATAAACATTGGCATGGTTCATTTCATACTTATGTCATCTTCTCTTATTTTATAATTAGGCCTTATTTGATTCTTATACATATCCTGTCTGTATATTTTATCCTATGAAATATATCTGTCGGCAATGGGATCAACAGCGTTGAGAGTCATGGCAGCTGGGGTGTGAATTTTTCTACAATTTTTATTTTGCTGTATTTAGCTTGGTACAAGTTTTAACACAGCAGATGTCTTTGACAGTTCACTTTTTGTACTGTTTAAAATCTGTGTCACACTACAAAGAACTTCACAATCTGTATCTTCAATGTTTAAAAAGCAGTTGCATACTTTTGTAGCATTTCTTGTTTCTTTTCAGCAGAAAAAGAAGTCCTGAATCAAATAAAAGAACGTCACTGCCTTTTAAGAAATTATTCATATTATACCACCTATTTCCAGAATGTTTGGGCAATATACCCATAAGGTAATGTAGAAGGTTACATGATGTAAAAGTTTTAAAAAAGATTTTACTAAGAGACATATACTTTCAATTTTTTGACTTTACTAAGAGACATATACTTTCAATTTTTTGTCCACTATTTTGATTTTGGTGACTATTGATTTTATGTAAGGTACATAAAATGTTTTACACACAGACAGACAGACACACACAAACAAACAAGCTTTTTAAATTTTGAAATGAAATAAACCTTTCATTTTATAAAAATATGGCATAGTATAAATCT